GCTTCGTAAATGAAGATTAGAGGTTGGCCATTTTGACCAGTGTCATAAACTAGCCATCAACAGCCATACAGGGAACATGAATTCTATGCGTGTGAGCCTTGTCCAGGATATGTTGTGTGTTTCGCTAGTATCATCCATTTCCTCTATGTCAAGCAGATCAAAGTCGCCTTTGTTCTTTGTGAGAATAGGATTTACTTTTTGTCATCAAGGGAAAGATAAGTACTGGTATCAGTTGTTCGTTGGGACAAAGTTTGTCATACCTAAAATGTGTTTGGTATTTTCTGTGGCCAGTCACCAATGTATGGGTCGCAGTATATTTACTGATCGAGTGTCTTTACTGGGAATTGCTTATAGAATATCTGCCAAGTTGGTGTCGATATGGCCTGGTCGATATAATCTGCCGTCATCAGCGACCCCATACATTTCCAGCCGCTTAAAAACGTGATAGCCATTCCTCCACACTTTGTCAACAACAAAAACACAGAAGCCAGAAGCATTTCCACTCCTTGAATACAGCACTTGGTTCAGAGTACTTGACGACAGGGCACTTACTGAAATTATTGAGTAAGTTAGTCCGTCAGTTGGAAGCCTCTCTGAAAGAACATCAATAAAGAGGTTACCTACGAATTCTGGAGTCTCATGTGCAAGTTTCTTCTGAATTTTGTGAAACATGTTCACCAAATCATTTATATCTGTGTCGGGGGGACGTTTTCTTTAGTAGAATCAGCGTCTAAAGTATGTTAAATACTTCTTGCAATTGATAAATACATTTCTCCTATTTGAAAGAACCGCTTCAACTATTTACCTCTTTCCCCAAAATACTCTATGTTAAAATTTTGCTATACCAATAATATTGGTTTGTTACTACATGCAATAATAACTGGTATGTAAACATTTTGTTTTCCTACGAATAGAACATTTAATGGTATTTATCTTTAAAAGTGTTATGACATTTCTTGTATTTAAGTAAACCGGTACTGACGTTGCCGTTGTGTAACGAACATGCATTGTTGAATACTAACCTTATAGAATTTACATATAATGTTAAAATGATGATTATCTGGACTCTGTTCATGAAGATCTGAGCAGAATTTCGTTTTCACTTGGTTTTAAAATTGCTGGAGTCCGCAAGGAAGCAGAACCATAGATTAATTCACTTGGTGTATGTGGGCAGCATATACCGAAAAGGGCAGCAATGAGACATATGTTGACCTTGAAAAGTGCTCTCGAACTGAATGCCTTATCTAGACCTTAACAGTGATTGAGACCACCTCTGGTTCATTAAAACAATTTGTAATAAAGAATGTCAAGGCTGAGGAATAATCAATCTCCATCATCAGTCGCCATTAGACAAAATGTTGAAAATTATATGTTTAGATCAATGAAAATTAGTGATGGTGCCATTTTTATGCTAAAGGGGTCAGCATGTCCTGTTCTACCTGCACGCACACAAGATAATAAGAATGTCATATCAATGTCTACGGCAGTCTGTAAACAATCCACGGACAAGGTACACCCATTTTCTCTTCTCATACATAAATCAATTTGTTCGTCTTACTTGAGGATGTAATAAAATGGAAAGGTCTGCAGTGCGACATAATCAATATCGAAGTTTTGTTGAAGACACGATTTATTCAACCACCGATTCAAGACACACAATGCCCAGTGATCAATTACCTCGCAATTCTATTCGCAACTAAACGTGTATTCCATTAAATGTTCTGTGTCTGTTGTTATAAGAGATCAGAGAATATCGCCACCATCTAATGATTCTTCTTTTCTGAGATAATCAATATTTGTCAAGCTTGTATTCTTTTGGTATTCTTTTTAAATAAATATTAAAACCTTTGTCTATTGACTACATCGATAAGACGGGCATGCACGTTTTCACCCTGTTTTAGAGGTATTTACCAATACGTGCCTGCAAGGTAAACACAATATCAGTGGTACCGTATCATGTTCTTAAAGCCAGCTTGTTCTACAATTTTGTCACAACTCAGCCCAGGATACAAATGCCATTGTTAACCAAATTCCTAAAGTTTGCCAGCAGGATAATATTTCTGTACAAATGGATTGTGATAGAATTACATTATCAATGACGTTACTACCGTTATTAATATAAAATCACCCACACGTTTATCCCAGCCACAGTGGACATTGAGTATGTGCAAGTCATTGAAGTTCTTCAAATATACATGGATAACTTTCTGGCCAGATACACTATATTAAACGATGCCAATCATCTAGTCACAGCTCGAGTAGTTACAGACGGCTATCATGTAAGCAGGTTATTGAAGAAGGAGGCGTAAATCCATATATATTCGGCTAAAAAAAGAAACACAAAAGTGGTTTTCAGATTATATTTTGTGAATGATATACACTGAACCACAAAAGAAATATCGCACCGATAGCGGTTTCTTAGAGCACACACTTTAATTCACTCTAAGTAACAATCAAAACGGAGGATTGAGTTCAAACTTGACAATTATGGTTAACACATTTTCGGGAATTACATTCAGAGTTCACACAAACAAAATCACCAAAATGGTACCATTAAGATACCCCAAAGTCTGTATTGTGTGTTGCCTCCATGGGCATCGATGAAAGCGTTGCATCGTGTGCACATGGAATGAATTAGCCGGTTGATGAAGGCCATAGACTCTTCGGTCCATACTCTGCGAAATGCCTGATCGAGTCCAGCCGCAGTTGTCGGCCTTGGTTGGAGGTCATTCAGCTTTCTTTGAATCTCGTCTCAAAGGTGTTCTATTAGACTAAATCCGGACTGAGTGGAGGCTATTGTATGGTTTGGATGCCATGTTGTCTTAGGAAGTCCAATGTTGCTCAAGCAGTGTGGACACGAGCGTTGTCTTGCTGTAAGATGTGATTTCTGTAACGCCCAAGATGTGGTACAACGTGGGGTCTTATGACTTGATCAATATAGCGAGCAGCTGTCACGTCATTTCCTCATCCTGGGCCAAGATTCTGGAACACCGTGGTGTCAACTAACTGGTTCAGACCGATTGCACCCCACACCATGATGTTTGGACCACCCCACGAGTCTCTTTCAACAATACACTCATTGGAAAACAGTTCCCTATGCCTTCACCATCCTCTCACTCTGCCATCGACTGTCGAAACACAATATCGACTTTCATGAGATAAAAGCACAGTTCTACATTGTCGAAAACGCCAATTTCGATGCTGAGTTGCCCATCGCAGTCGGTTTGGGCGGTGATGAGCGGTGAGGACAGGACTACGATATGGTCTGTGACGGCAGAGGTTTCTTCTGTGCAAACGTAGACGAACTGCATCGGCACTGAGGCGTCTGTTGTGAGTCCCAGTGGTCTGGCGTGCTGTTTCAATCGCTCTGGGGAAGTGATCCTGCAGATGGCTGTGCACAATCTGTTGGTCTTGACGTTGTGATGTTACTGAAGGTCGCCCACTGCGTGGACGGTCATGGATGCTGAAAGTCACCTGATACCAATCCTGCAGTCGGTGGATTGCCCTAACATGGACATTAAAATGATTGGCTACCCTCCGTGCAGTCTGAACAACTTGCAATCGTCCCAAGGCTTGGTTTCTCTGATCTCTCGTAAGTCGTGGCATGGTGATTGAGTCAAAACAAAAATGATTTCGGGCGAGTTTAGGACTCGCTTTCATTGGTAGGGTTGGCACGACATGCACGTGCATTTTCATTTTCATGAATGTCATACGGGACCTTTTACCACGTCTGCCTTTTTCGTTGCGCTTGGTCGATATGCTTTTTCATCCGAAAACACACTGATGTTGGTGAGTGAGTGAGTGAGTTAAGATTTTAAGTTACATCGGCAGTATTTCAGCCGTATCGTGACTATATCAAGTTACATATTAATAACAATTATAGGTAAATTATAAAATGCCTGTCAACGAAGGACAGTAAAACAACTATAATATCACAGATACAAATGTAAAACTAGTAATTAAATCTAAAACATTTTAATTATAGAGGACAACACAACATAAAAACGGGATATATATCGCTAACAACTGAGGGTAGATCACCATACTAGGGACCATGGGGACTTACAGTACCTTTGCTACCTGCATGGACCCTAGCTGGATTTACATCATCCCTTCAGCCATTGGCGATTGTAGACAAAATTAGCCATATTTTAAAATAACACATATTCTACGATTAAAGACACGTGATATGAAGAATCCTTTGAATGAAATGTGACTTACATACCTTCCTCAGGGCGACAATAATTTTACGCTACTCCAACCCCCTTTGAAGGTAATGCCACTAATATTCAAAGTCATTAATTCATTCTCACAAATTAAAATTCATATTCTAATTACAATACACATCCAAATTTATCAATTAATTCAATTTCTTTTAAAAATCCAAGGATTAAAAGAGGAGCAACATGATTGCAAAGATCCTTCATTGTTTTGACATCGACATATTTTTCCCTTGTGATGGAAAAATCAATACAGTCAAGCAAGACATGCTTGACCGTGATTCTTGCATCACAAGGGATGCAAAATGGAGAATCTTCGCCTTTTAACAAATATTCATGAGTATACCTGCTGTGGCCAATGCGACATCGTCGCATGATGACCTCTTCAAATCTGGACTGACAACCCAAGCAGGTGTAACCGATGGTTGGTTTAATTGCATGTAATTTACCTACTTGGGTGTCCCACTTCTTTTGTATCAGATCACGGATTTGCGATCTAATTGCAGCTTTGTAATCAGAGTATGGAATGAGAAGTGGTGTCACAGATTTGTTGAGTGCTGCATTAGCAGCAAAATCGGCCAAAATCAGCAATATCACGCCGGGGGACACCAGCATTGGGCTTTAAACATAGTACCTATGTGACCACAAGGGTTCCCCACCATCCCACTCCTGTAGAACATACCACGTTAATGACAGGAAATTAGTGTAACTATTATTACCGACCTCCAGTGTCCGGTGAACGCATCGCACACTTACTGTTACCTATCTTTCTCGACAGAGCCATTACAAGTGTTGTCACCAAACCAAGAGATATGAACTTTTTGCAAGACCAAGTACTTCTGTTTGCTGTCGTCGTGGCATCAGCCATTGTTTACAACTTGGCCCAAGGTAAGGATATAAGGCGGATGTGTATGTGAGTTGTTTTTACTGTATGGATCGTTTCCTGTTTCAAAGATACAAAAACATACGGGCATGCTACACGAGTTATCGAATGACGTCCATCTGTGACCAGTGAAGATCCGGATTAGAATTGGTCTTTAGCAACCCATGCTTGTCGTAAAAGGCGACTGACGGCATCGATTGGTCAGGCTCACTGACTTGGTTGACACATGTGATCGTATCCCAATCACGTAGATCGATGCTCATGGTGTTGATCACTAGAGTACAGACTCGATTATTTACAGACCACCGCCATATAGCTGGAATATTGCTGAGTGAGGCGTTTAGCAACAACTAACCAACCAACTGTGATTGGTTCACGATTTTTCATGTGTAACTTCATGTAGGGAATGTAGAAGGGATAATTATCAAACTGAAGGTTCTTGAGAGGCATTTAGAAGTGGTGTTCAAGTAAAACGCAAATATTATGGATGACCACTTTAGTGTATGCCACAAGGTTTCTGGGCTATTCCTTGCCCCTTGTCAAGTGAATTAAAGAAGAAGTTGTCATCCATAATATTTGCGTTTTATCAAACTGAAGTATTCTAAAATATATACTCAAAAGCAAATTGATAGAAACAAATCAACGTCACAGATTTGTTTATGTTCTAAATGTTTCCGAAGGACGTTTCAGCAACAACTGATGATGGATATTGCCAGAGTTCGGGCTGTATTAAGACCTTTACTAAAAATGTCTGGAGTTCATGGAGAGATAGTCACTAAAGCACACAGTGTTGTCAGTAGCAAATGGGGCGGTGGGGTAGCCTAGTGGTTAAAGCGTTGGCTCGTCACGCCGAAGACCCGGGTTCGATTCCCCACATGGGCACAATGTGTTAAGCCCATTTCTGGTGTCCCCCGCCGTGATATTGCTGGAATATTGCTAAAAGCGGCGTAAAACTAAACTCAGTCAGTCAGTAGCAAATGTATTTGCATATTTTGCTCGTGGGACATAAGCATTTCAATGTTTAGTTCATGTTTCTACAAGTTCATTACATACTGACATGAGAAGATCATTTTCCTTATGAAGATGATGAACCATGTCCTCACTTCGATTATCTTTTGAATAATTACAGGTGAAGTTATATGTCATTCACGCTATTGTCGCGAAGTACGCCTATTTTGTTCAAATTTGAACAAAAGAATATTCTGGAATGTCTAGTAAATGACGTATATTGAATGGCAGCATTTGCCACGGCCAAAGGAAAGTCTCATCCGTTTCAAATGTTTATCCAATCAAAGTGAGTGGTAGATTTAGACAGAGTCAGTTTTAGTGTATGTAACTGTCATTACATCCCATGTGATACCACGTTAACTATTCTGAGGGTGCACGGCTTTTCTTAAGCGGCGCTCTGTCAATACCTACATTCCAAATCCTCTGTGAAAAGTACGGCCATGGTGTAAATATTGCTCACGTTACGTGTGCTCCTGTGGGGAGAAGACCGTTCAACAGAAGATTGTTTTAGGGATGCATCAATTGCACAGACGATCACTCATTCTTCTCTTAAGAGTGTCCGATTTGGAATCAGCAAATATGGCAAATATACTTAGTTCCAAAAGAAACGCGACATGTCCATTTGAAAGAAAAACTGTTATCCCACATACGTGCTTCTTGCCACTATATGCTTGCACAGAACGCACCAAAGAAAGATAAAAGGCAACAGCAACGACAGTGGATTTAAGATCTGATGATTTTTTTAATTGTGTCCAACCTGAAGTGTCTGCTTTAGACACGTTTAGAAGTTTAAGCTGACATTCGATGTTATCAGTACCTGGTATGACCACCATTATTGTTTATCACATGAGTACACCGTCTTCCCATGGACATGAACAAACGTCGAATGAAAGCACGGGGAATGTTATTGTACTCATTCAACACTGCATTCTCCAACTGCCGCCGACTTTGTGGAGGAACTGGTCTTTGACGAAAGCGTCGGTCCAACTCGTCCCAGAGATGTTCCACTAGATACAAATCAGGACTAAGAAGTGGCCAAACCATTGTCTGGATGTGGTGATTGGCCAGGAATTGTCCTGTGATAATGGCCGAGTGGGCGCGGGCATTATCGTGTTGGAACTGCAACTGTGGTCTGGGTCTAAAGAACGGGATGACAACAGGCCTTAAGACTTCGTCAATGTAGCGTCGTGCAGTTACGCACCTTCCTCGACCTTGACCGTTGTTTTGTTTGGAAGATTACAGGTGGTACATGCCTTCCCCAGCTTATTCCACCCCACATCATAAGGGATGGCCCACCCCAGCGGTCACTTTCCAGAACACATGGGTCTCTGAAACGTTCATTTCGTCGACGCCATACTCTCACTCTCCCATTTGCAACGTGGACACAAAAACAACTCTCGTCTGAGAAAACAACGTTCTTCCACTGTGCATATCTCCAATGCTGATGTTGGCGAGCCCATGATAAGCGCAGACGACGGTGCCGTGGCCTCAAAATCGGTCCAACATAGGGTCTCCTACAGTGTAGCCGGTGTGCTCTCAAACGTCGACGCACAGTGTTTCCTGAAATTGGTCTGTTGTGAATCCCAATTTTTTGACGGGCTGTAACAGTAGCTGGAAGAAAACTGTTGCGAAGATGTGACGTTACGGTGTAACGGTCTTGTCTGTGTGACGTCACTCGTGGCATGCCATCTCTAGGTCGATCTCCAACCGAATTCGTTTGATTTTGGCGTTCAATCAGTAAATTGTTGTCCGATGTACTCCCATATGTTGTGTAACGTTAACAACACTGGAACCAGCATCAATCATCCCAAGAGCACATAGACGTGCTTCATTGCTCAGACGTGGCATATTGTTCTCTGAACCATTCAGCCATTTCTGGTGTCCCCCGCCGTGATGTTGCTGGAATATTGCTAAAAGCGGCGTAAAACTAAACTCAGTCAGTCAGTCTGAACCATTCAGAAAAAGAACACAACAGAAACTGCCGTGGCATCTTTTAAAGGGTTCTTTCTCTCGTTTTTCTAGAAGAAAGTGTCGTATCATTAAATTCACGTGCACAACGAGTAAGGGCAGGCGTTTATGTGATGTGTTTCTGTTGTTTTTTCCCATAAAAATGTTCAATAATTAGATTCAGTAGTTACGGCTAATCTAAAGTTAAAAGTCTTGTTTCAGAAGGTTAATTTCGAAAATTGGTTTCAAAGAACATTTAACATGCACATTCGTTATGATTGTAAAGTAGATAAGACAATTATGGAAATTTCAAAAACAAACATGAATGTCGCGTTTCTTTTGGAACTAAGTATATTTACCCGAATCATCAGTTTTACATCAGCGACAACAATTTTCCAAGGCTCAGAACTTAAATAAACCTATGATTCCATAACCAGAACACCGTCGGAAACAACCACTAAAGTAACCAAATCATCTGCACTTGATCGATTCTCCTCATATTGTGTCGCCTAAAATGTCTACTGAAACTGCAAAATAACTTCAAAGTTCAACCAGAGTCATCTTATGGTCAGGATTCCTCTTTATCCGTGAAAAAGCCATTAGGTCAAAACTTTCAAAACATGAATGTGGAACAAATATACAATAAACGGTCAAAATGGCAGACTTTTTTAATGGTTCTGTCAACGAAATTCAACTTTTTATTAAGATCGTATCCTTAGAGGATATGATGTGTTCGAAAACACACAAAACACTGCACATGACGTGGCGCTCTCAAGGAAGGCAAGGAGAAGATCCATAATAAACCATCCGAAGAAATAGTTTGTTTGCAGTGGAATTGTAGAGGGCTAATCTTGATGAACTACATCTGTGAGTCCAGAATGTGTTATTGGTTACAATAATCATATCTAAAGAAGATAGATAATTTTAACTTACATCAGTTTGTTGCATACGATTAATAATATTATATTTCTCCTCCGGGTGAGCAGGCCACAGGAACAGCTCTTTAATTACAGACTCGAACCTACTGAAGGAATTTGAATGGTCAGCCCGCGACGACCTCAGTGGAAGTGTTCATGTTCCTACAGTACTAAAACCTGTAACCCCATCTGATGTTCCTCCATCATCAAGGTGAAATTTTAAAAAGGCTAACCGTCATTCATATGAAACATTGTGCTCGAATAATCTTAAACCTGAACTGTTTACTGATGTTCCTGATGCTATGAAATGGTTATCAGATGAATTACATGACATAGGTGACGAGTGTATCGCAAAGTGTTATGCAATCCCACATGACTGCAAACAATGCAGGAAGGCAAGCAAAAGGTTGGACATTATTCCGCCGTCATCGTATGGTCCAAAAATTGAATACATTCAAGATTTTAGACTTTTAAACGTAAAGATCAATAATGGCGAAATTATACATGAAAATCAGTTCACTTACGCCGATTCCAAAGGTCTGAAATGTTATCCAGAAAACCGAAGATTAGGTTTCTAAATCTAGCATTCGCCATCTTAAAGACCAAACCCAATTATTAACTAATAAATCCGATAGTGCTGATACATTTTTGGAACCTTTGACCAAACTATCTTTCTTATCTAACTATGTACCTCAATTTCAAATATAGCAAAATCAGCAAGAAACGAAAACTATTCATTTCAATTCAGGTGTTGAGGAACATTACAGTGAAATAGTATCTGTTCGTAAGCTTCATTCGGCTCTTACACAAGCTCCAGATACTGCAATGTGAGATGCTAACATCTGTGCATTATCAACTCCGGAAGCACTTATAAATCATGTTTAGACAGTCTTTTTAATATCACTGATGACAGTTGGGGAAACGTCTTTCTTCATTGCGTGATACTATAACCTAAATACCCGAACATGGACGAACCGATCCTTCAAATTATTGACCAATTTCACAAACAATCTTCGTTTGCAAAACCATGAAAAGCATGATCAATAATCGATTTATCGATTTAGTACTTGGACTCCCACAATCAACTTACTGCTAGAAGCAGAATCACTATCGAACATATACTGCGTAAATTTGTCAAAAATGCCATAGTTAATAAACAACATGAAGTGTCAATCTTTTCCATTCTACACTGAGGATAGGACCCTGTGTGGAAATAAAAGATTTGCATAATTTTGGACAGACACATACTTGGGTTGTCAGTGCAGATTTGAGTAGGTCGTATTGGCCATTCAATATATACACTTGATTATTTGTAATAATGTATAGATCCCATATTTTGTTTTCCTTGTGATGAAAGAAAACATGCTCCCATCCATCATTTCCTTCATCCATGAAGGATCTTTCTGATAATGATACCTTTGTTTTTATTAGAGAATATAGAATTGAACAAACTTATATGTTTAGTAAAGAGCTAAACGTTATTTTAAAAGTGGTAGATTAAATTAGCAAGTGTGATTATCAGTAGGTGTATCGTCAAAGTGTTGTGCAATTATTGTCCTTCTAAGTCTAAAAACATTCAAAGTAAACCATGGCCTACAAGTTATTTTAATCGTAGTATATTTGTTAGGCTACACCTGACTGTAATCGCTAGCATCTGAAAGGATGGTGTAAATCCAGCTAGACTCCTGTAAGTAACAAACGTACTGTTAGTTCCAGCTTATGGTGATCAACCTTCAGTTGCTGGCAGTCTGTAGAACGTTTTTATGATGTGCCGTGTATATAAATGGCGTTTTATGGTTACTTGCGAGTTTTACACGGAAATCTGTGATATTTTAATGTCATTCACTGTCGTTTGTTGACATGTATTTATATAATTTAAGGTTGTTCTTTATTAATCTATGGCTGAAGTACTGCCGATAGGACTTTAAATTATACCTCACTCACTCAGTGTGTACCTAATCAATCCCTTCTGTGGAGAAACATGAATAACTAATCGTACCCTTATGTGGATAAAAATGTGTAACTGAAAAGCCAAAGACATTTGATAGATAAAATGGTTCCTTCCATCATTCAGGACAATGAAGACAGGGCATTGTAATGTTTCCATTTAAAGTATGTACATGCATTGAGAATAGTCAACATCAATATTGCATCAAGGATAACATATATACACGAGGAGAAAAGTATCGCAACACCCATACGTTTTTCTCTCAATATCGTAAAAATTGCCATATAACAAAATAATTGAAGACAATAACCTTTATATTACGTGTCTCAAACGTAACAAATCATGGAACACGTGTTGCAGGTAACAAGTGTGGATCATATGAAACACTTGGACCCCTCGTGTCGTGAAATACAGTTTCATTCACCCTTGTTAGAAAACTAAGCTAAAACCAGGGTATGAAACTCCCAAAACTTTCAGCCAGACCACAGGGATGGTTAGATGTAAAACTTGCCAGCCCTGACCAAAACCTACGTGCCCACAAAATATCTTCATATACAACATGTCTAAATTTTAGCCCGACCGTCGGGCAGGTGAATTGAGAATTTGTCAGTCCGTGTTGAAAATAGCCCGTCCCAGGTGGTCTGGCAGGCAGGTATTTAGAACGCAGCTAAAACGCATACTTTTTTAGCAGGTCGTGTTGGCCATTCAATATAAATATACTTGAATATTGTAATAATGTATGGATCCCATATTTTGTTTTCCTTGTGATGAAAGAATCCGTCATGCATGACCTGCTGGACTGTATTAATGTTCCTATCACAAGGGCTAATCATCTCCTTCATCCATGAAGGATCTTTTTGACAATGATAGCTTTGTTTTTATTAGAGAATATAGAATTGAACAAATTGATATGTTTAGCAAAGAGATAAACGTTATTTTAAAACTGGTAGATTAAATTAGCAAGTGAGATTATCAGTGGCTGTATCGTCAAAGTCTTTTGACAATTATTGTCCTCCTAAAGCCTCAAAACATTTAAAGTATACCATGGCCTACAAGATATTTAATCGTAGTACCACTCTATGGGCCCCCTCAACTAACTACAGCTCAAAAGATGGTAAGTTACAGGTAGGGTTAACGCCGGGTTGTCCATGAGACAAATAGTCAGGCAGTTAGGTCAAAAATTAGTCGATTAGTAAGGAAACATCACTGAACAAACGATGTAAAGGCAGAACACGCAAGACATCAGCTAGACAACATCGCGCACGCGCAGTCATCGATTTCCTGCATCAAACAGCCATTACCACCCTTCCATGGCCAGCCAGAAGCCATTTCCACCTTTCCTTGGCCAGCCAGAAGCCATAACCACCCTTCCATGGCCAGCCAGAAGCCCTTATTTGAACCCTATCAAGCATGTTTATGACATTCTCCTGCGTAAGGTTCATCCGAGAAATCCACCAGTCCAGAATATTGATGAATTAGAGCAAACATTGCACCAAGAATGGAACAGGTTGCCCAAACGATTCAGCGCCTTGTGCACTCAATGAGGACGAGGGTTCAAAACGTCATCCAGGTTAGCGGAGGTTACACAAGATACTGACTGTGTCTTCTGTTTCCGAAACTGAAGATCTTATTTGTGGATTGTGTTGTCAATTAGGACTAAGCATCGTGTTACACGTTTAGGACGACCATACTTTTATTGACACATTATGTCCTATGTCTAATCAAATATACCTTTCAGATTCTTTATTGTTGTTCAGATTCTTTATTGTGTTAATGAAAAGTCTTTTTAGCACTTTCGCTCCAAAATCATTTCCTGTGAACACGCACATGACATAATATTATAAACTGTGATTAAATATAGGTCCTGTCATATTGTATATTTCCAAAAATATGTTTTCCATCTTGAACTGTCTTCTTGATGATAATGTTCTAAGTTTAATGGTGTTTTGGAAATGTAGTGCACAAGTTACATTTTACTAATCGCACCAGAGTTTGTAAGGGAGGTAACTGCTGGGTCTGAAGCTATGGGTTTCCTTTAACGTGTAAGTGTCACACTGACTTTCAATCGAAAATATAATGTGTTTGAACGTACAAACACATCATCTTCATAGTGAAACGTGTGCTTAAGTCATCGAGAGCAACTTGTGAGTGTGTGTTTAGTTGTTAGGTAATATTCAAAGTATGTCTAAATTTCAGTATGTTTATATGATTTTACCTGTCTCATTTAAGTGGGGGAGAATAATTTGTGCATTTGGTCTCCAGTTCTAGAATGGTAAGCTGTCACTTATGTTATCACACAAAGAGATGGTCGCCCTGTGTGGCATACAAATCCAATGATGTTTTCCTCCTTCTTCCACCAGACCCTGTCAACCTGGCCCTGAATAAGATAGCGACAGCAAGCAGCGTCGATACGTCGCCTCAGCTGGCAGTTGACGGAAACATGTCTCCGAGGTTTCGCGACGGCAGCTGCTTCAACTCCCCGTTTGACACCGCTTTTACAGTGGCTCAGCGTAGACTTAGACGACGTCTACGTCATCACAAGCGTCAACGTCACCAACAGGGCTGACTGCTGTGGTGAGTAGAGCACTCTGTGGCAGGTAACATCATAAGTGTTCACTGGCCATGAAGGGGACATAGGCTGATGTACCCTCTATGCTTGTTTATGTTTCCTGAGCCCCATGGCGAGAGGAACTTAAACAAACATAGAGGGTACATGAACCCATGGGCCTGAGGCACCAGTGAGCAACGTATTTATCTGACCGGACACCTCAATGTTAATCTTTAACTGTTTGAAGCACGGGTATCTGATCATCATAAGGAGTACCAGAGTTAGGCAATTGGCCAAAACTAGATTTTCAGTTGTCATGGAATCTAGCAGACAACAAGAAAAAACAAATTTAGAGTTATCTCCCTTCCATCGATTTGCATTCGCAAATCATCGGTAATTTCCGTACATCATACGTGACTCAGTTATTCAAGATAAAGAATTACTAACATGAAGTACCAAATGAATTCCCACAGTTCGGCATTCCTAGCGGGTAACATAGAAAATGTTACTCGCTTGTAAGCGGGATAGAAATGGCGTCATCATCATTTGCATAAAGTTTGACAGACACTTTTGTCTTCATATCTGTGAAATTTGTGGAAATTTGGTGAATGCGGACAATCTTTGGTGATTCAAAGCCACAGTCATGCATTGTAGCCATGGCGACGAGAGACCTAGACACAAGTGCATTGCTATGGTGGAGCAATACAAGGCTTCTCTACAATGATTAGCATTCATATTCGCAGACAGTTGCTAAAGCTGATGGAAAAGACTCCTTCTTAGGAGGAACCGTTCTACTGCTTTGAATGCTGTCAAATCTGATGCCGCCTCTTCATATATAGATCACCAAAACATGCGAGTGACTGTTTTGGGATGTACATAAGATCAGATTGACAGGCAAAATGTTTAACTGCATGTCCGACCGTTGTGGTCCTCTTGAGTAAAATAGAAATAACGGGTCATCACAAAAATACAAAAAATAAAGATTCATTTCAATTTCAATTCAACGGATTAGCATGTGGCGAATTTGATATGAAAAATCACTTGGTTTTACATGTCCGTCAAATTAAAATGCTACAAATGTTTATCTGGATATATGGTTCGGAGAAAGTGGTTATTGGAACGAGATTCTTTGACATAACGTATGGTATGGATTTACAAGTTCTTCAATCTTTACAACACGGCGTTTCTGGGCTACTTCTTGCCCCTTCATCAGGTGAATGCTGTTATGTTGTTATGGTACCTGATGTTTCGTGAGATCACTTTCATACAAGTATTCATCGTTTATACAATTCTATCTTTTTTTTATAAACAGTCCGTAAAACAGTTTGAGGAGACCTGCTATGTATGTTTGCTTCCAGCTGACAGAATGCATGATGTGTACGTGGAGGTATTTTCGGACAACAACGACTCCCCGGGTTTCTGCAGTTCCCATGATGGCGTGGTGGGTGCAGGAGAAACCATTCGTCTCACATGTGATCCACCCCAGTTCGGGCGCCACGTCAGACTTAGCCGGCCTACCACAAGCAGTGAGCGTTTTGCCGTCTGTGAGATGCAGGTCTTTGGATACAGATCGCCACAACAGTGTAAGTGCAGCTTGACATCCTCAGGCGGTTCGAACGCCGATCTGTGCGATGTTGCAGCTGAATGATGGCTAGGGGCACTAACTCCACACAATGTACCCTTGTTGAGTATGGATGCCCCTGGCCCGAATAGCCTTTTCCATCTTAAACTCCAGTTATTAAAGTGTTTTTTCATCAATGTTACTATTCTCTACATTGCATTCAGTTGAATATTATACAATGAAACCCCTCAACTAGAAATGCTGGTCACCATGAAAGCCTGGCAGCAGATGAAAGGTCTACCTGTTTCAACTTAATGGAGTTAGTTAACGGGGTCGTACTGAACAGAATATATAACGTCAGTACCAGGGAATAATCAAACCAGATTCCAATTGGATGAACAAAATGGCAGTGAACAAGGTAAGAATGGGTGACTGAAAAATCAGGGATGACATATGGAGAAGTTTAATTTTGTCGTCCTTACCGACAGTAATACGGTGACTTCCTACTTGTCCAGCAGCTGGTAAACAGTAAATCCCACGTTTGTACATGTTTAGTAGCAGGGACCATCTAAAAAATATTTGCCAGTGATACTCCCTCAGCAGATCCCCCTCCTTAAGGTGATGGATGTCTCCGGTGGGTGTTGGATGTTGTTGGTGAAGGGCATCTGGGGTGGGTGTTGGATGTTGGCGCGGGGCGTGTGGGGTGGGTGTTGGATGTTGGTGATGGGTGTTGGATGTTGGCGATGGGCGTCTGGGGAGGGTGATGGATGTTGGCGGGGGGCGTGTGGGGTGGGTGTTGGATGTTGGTGATGGGTGTTGGATGTTGGCGATGGGCGTCTGGGGAGGGTGATGAATGATGGCGGTGATTGGGTCTGGGTTGGGTGTTTGCTGATCCCAATGGGTGGATGTTGGATGATGGCGGTGGGTGTCTAGGGTGGGTGTTGGATGTTGGCAGTTGGCATCTGGGGTAGATGTTGGATGATGGCGGTGGGTGTCTGGGTTGGAGGATGGCAGTTGGCATCTGGGATGGATGTTGGATGTTGGCGATGAGCGTCTGGAGTAGGTGTTGGATGAGGGCGATGGGTGTTGGATGTTGGCGATGGGTGTCTGGGGTAGGTGTTTGATGCTAACGGTGGTTGTGTGGGGTGGGTGTTGGATGTGGGCGATGGGTGTTGGATGTTGACGGTGGGCGTCTGGGGTGGGTATTGGATGTTGGCGTTGGTGTCTGGAGTGGGTGTTGAATGTTGGCGATGGGTGTCTGGGGTGAGTGTTGGATGTTGGCGATGGGTGTCTGGAGTGGGTGTTGAATGTTGGCTATGGGTGTCTTGAGTGGGTGTTGAATGTTGGCGATGGGTGTCTGGGGTGGGTGTTGAATGTTGGCGATGGGTGTCTGGGGTGGGTGTTGAATGTTGGTGATGGGTGTCTGGAGTGGGTGTTGAATGTTGGTGATGGGTGTCTGGGGTGGGTGTTGGATGTTGGCGATGGGTGTCTGGAGTGGGTGTTAAATGTTGGCGATGGGTATCTTGAGTGGGTGTTGAATGTTGGCGATGGGCGTCTGAGGTAGGTGTTGGATGTTGGCGATGGGTGTCTTGAGTGGGTATTGAATGTTGGCGATGGGTGTCTGGGGTGGGTGTTGAATATTGGCGATGGGTGTCAGGGGTAGGTGTTGGATGTTGGCGATGGGCGTCTGGGGTAGGTGTTGCATGCTAACGGTGGTTGTCTGGGGTGGGTGTTGAATGTTTGTTATGGGTGTCAGGGTAGGTGTTGGATGTTGGCGATGGGCGTCTGGGGTGGGTGTTGGATGAGGGCGATGGGTGTTGGATGTTGGCGATGGGCGTCTGGGGTGGGTGTTAGATGCTAACGATGGTTGTCTGGGGTGGGTGTTGGATGATGGCGGTGGGTGTCTGGGTGGAGGTTGGATGTTGGCAGTTAGCATCTGGGATTGATGTTGGATGTTGGCGGTGGGTGTCTAGAGTGGGTGTCGGATGTTGGTGATGGGTGTGCATGTTTTCGGTGGGTGTCTGTGTTGGGTGATGGATGTTGACGATGGGTGTCTATGGTGGGTGCTGGATCTAGGCAATGGGTGTATGGGGGATAGGTGTTGAATGTTGGCAGTAGGCGTTTGGGGTAGGTGTTGACGGTGGGCGTCTGGGGTGGGTGTTGGATGTTGGCAATGGGTGTCTGGGGTGGGTGTTGGATGTTGGTGATGGGTGTCTGGGGTGGGTGTTGGATGTTGGTGATTGGTGTCTGGGGTGGGTGTTGGATGTTGGTGATGGGCGTCTGGGGTGGGTGTTGGATGATGGCGGCGGGCGTCTGGGGTGGGTGTTCGATGTTGACGGTGGGCGTCTAGGGTGGGTGTTGGATGTTGGTGATGGGCGTCTGGGGTGGGTGTTGGATGTTGGTGATGGGCGTCTGGGGTGGTTGCTGGATGTTGACGGTGGGCGTCTGGGGTGGGTGTTGGATGTTGGTGATGGGCGTCTGGGGTGGGTGTTGGATGTTAGCGATGTGTGTCTGGGATGCATGTTGGATGATGGCGGTAGGTGTTTGGCGTGGGTGTTGGATGTTGGCGGTGGGCGTGTCTGGGGTGGGTGTTGGATGTTGGCGGTGGGTGTTACGGGTGGGTGTTTGGGGTGGGTGTTGGATGTTGGCGGTGGGTGTTACGGGTGGGTGTTTGGGGTGGGAGTTGTTTGTTTGGGGTGGGAGTTGGATGTTGGCGGTGGGTGTGCTGAAACAGCACTTTTGAACACTACTGCGCTCATAACGAAACTCGAAAGTAATGTGCTCTGTTTCTGTTCAAGGTTCAAGATATGTGAGGAAAGTTGGAGTGCGCCTAAATCCGGTCAACTTCACCAGTTTCCAGGGGGAGACAACTCTACCGGCGTGTGGCAACGCCTGTCATGGTTCTGCAGGATGCATAGGATTTAACTATAACGAGGGTGAGCCGTGCATGCTTGTGCACCGTCATGCAGGCTTCACTGAAGACAGCGAGTGGAGCGTATTTTTGCTTCAGCAGTGTTGACAATAGACTTTTGCCCAATCGTGTGTACCACCAAGTGATATGACTATAAAATTGTTAAAAGCGGCGTAATACCATACGCATTTATTCACACAAAGTGTGCACCCGTTTTAGACATTCTGGTGCTGTTATCATGACTGATGATGTTTACCCTTTTGCAGTTTCAGATACACACACACACGACTGGTACAATACAGTGTCCTTTTTGGTCCGCTTATTGTAACTTCTGTTTATACTACTAAGTATTTTTAACTTGTGGGTTGGGCCCCTTGTCTGACCACACCGGACTGCAGCGGTCAGTTGGCACTTGAAGCTGTCCAGGGTGCCGTTGTACAAAGCAACCTTAGCGCTAAGGTGACCGTAACTCCCAATCTTAACATAGACATAAGGTAACCTTAGCGCTAAGGTGACCGTAACTCCAATACCTTAACATAGCCATAAGGTAACCTTAGCGCTAAGGTGACCGTAACTCCCAAACCTTAACATAGACATAAGGTAGCCTTAGCGCTAAGGTGACCGTAACTCCCAAACCTTAACATAGACATAAGGTAGCCTTAGCGCTAAGGTGACCGTAACTCCCATACCTTAACATAGACATAAGGTAACCTTAGCGCTAAGGCGACCGTAACTCCCATACCTTAACATTGACTAAAGGTAGCCTTAGCGCTAAGGTGACCGTAACTCCAAAACCTTAACATAGACATAAGGTAGCCTTAGCGCTAAGGTGACCGTAACTCCCATACCTTTACATGGACATAAGGTAACCTTAGCGCTAAGGTGACCGTAGCTCCCATACCTTAACATAGACATAAGGTAACCTTAGCGCTAAGGTGACCGTAACTCCCATACCTTAACATTGACTAAAGGTAGCCTTAGCGCTAAGGTGACCGTAACTCCCAAACCTTAACATAGACATAAGGTAACCTTAGCGCTAAGGTGACCGTAACTCCCATACCTTAACATAGACATAAGGTAACCTTAGCGCTAAGGTGACCGTAACTCCCATACCTTAACATAGACTAAAGGTAGCCTTAGCGCTAAAGTGACCGTAACTCCCATACCTTAACATAGACATAAGGTAACCTTCGCGCTAAGGTGACCGTAACTCCAAAACCTTAACATAGACATAAGGTAGCCTTAGCGCTAAAGTGACCGTAACTCCAATACCTTAACATAGACATAAAGTAAACTTAGCGCTAAGGTGACCGTAACTCCCATACCTTAACATAAACATAAGGTAACCTTAGCGCTAAGGTGACCGTAACTCCCATACCTTAACATAGACATAAGGTAACCTTAGCGCTAAGGTGACCGTAACTCCCAAACCTTAACATAGACATAAGGTAGCCTTAGCGCTAAAGTGACCGTAACTCCCATATCGTAACATAGACATAAGGTAACCTTAGCGCTAAGGTGACCGTAACTCCCAAACCTTAACATAGACATAAGGTAACCTTAGCGCTAAGGTGACCGTAACTCCCATACCTTAACATAGACATAAGGTAACCTTAGCGCTAAGGTGACCGTAACTCCCATACCTTAACATAGACATAAGGTAACCTTAGCGCTAAGGTGACCGTAACTCCCATACCTTAACATAGACATAAGGTAACTTTGGCGCTAAGGTGACCGCAACTCCCATACCTTAACTTAGACATAAGGTAACCATAGCGCTAAGGTGACCGTAACTCCCATACCTTAACATAGACATAAGGTAGCCTTAGCGCTAAGGTGACCGTAACTCCCATACCTTAACATAGACACACAGAGAGAAAGAGAGAGAGAGTCTTTATTTCCTCCAGACGATCATCCGAAGATCAAACATATTATATACATGTAGATACAAGAAAGGGGGCAAAGTTACAAAATTGGTATAGATGTATATACAATTATATTAATCAAGATGAATACCTAAAGAACATACGTGTACATTGTAGGAGATGTCGTCTTATTCGGTAAATGTATAAAGAAAATCGTAAAATGATTGTTTCCCATGTCCCTTGATCAACATTATCATTAAAAACAGTTTCACCTCCAAATAGAAAAGAGAGCATATCGAGTTCATCCTGTGATTCAAAGGCAACATAGGTTTCCACATCAAGATTGTCAATCATAAACACAAAAAATTCGTTTCTCTCAGTGTGAAGTTGTTCACAGTGTAGGAGTATATGAAAATCATAATCATAAGTATATTTGTTGCATAGGTTACATTCTTTAGATATTTTGCCACGTGATGAGATCTTAATACATATTTGGAGGGCAGATTTATAACTGGGATGCAAGTATGCCAATTGCCAGAGGATATGATGGTTTAACTTGGAATGGATCCGTGCATAAAGCGTCATGTTTGTATTAATTGAGGTTTGTATAACCCATCTGTGTTCTTCATAGCTATGTACAGATGTATTTACAATTTTTCGCCATTCGTACTTCGGAGGGAATACACCTTCTTTAATATATTTATCTATGTGTACATGTAAATTATATTTGTAGAGTACTGATAGTAGATCATCACAGATTGAAGGGGATTTTGTAGATGTGGTTATTGCTGCACAAAATATGTTTTTGGCAAAATTATTACAAGAGATTTTGCATTGACGTCCAAGAAAAATGAGTTTACATTTGTCGATGTAACCAATGAGTGTCCACAATCCCAAATTTGCAATAGTAGAGTCTGTTGGTGATCTTTTATCAAGCCCCTGCACAATACGAGCAAAATATCGTTGTGTAAGTTCAAGTGCATCGGCTTGTTGACCTCTAATGGTAGGTAATATTTCACAGCCATAGAGACTTGTTGTAAGTATCATTCTCAGCCAGATTTTGACGCATGTGAATGGGTGGAGTTGAGAGTGATGAAGTCCCGCAGATCTTAGGGAATTTATGTTTTGTCTTGCTTTCTGACAATACCTAACGATTCTTGTTTTTGTTGAGAGATTATCAGTTAGGAGAACACCTCCATAGGTAGTTGATTCAGACTGGGGGATAGGCGTATCACCAAGGCGATACTGGAAGTTAGAATATACGGATTTTCTTTTGCTGAAGACTATAGTACTTTTAGCTGGGTTGTAGGTCAAACGCCATTTGGAGGCATATGACGACACGATGTCTAATGATGATTGTAAACCTTTAGGTGATGCACTAATAAGCGTGGTATCGTCAGCAAGCAAGACTGCAGGAACATGCATACCGTATACACAAATACCACAACTGGCTTCTCTGAGAGCAGTGATAAGGTCATTTATAAAAATAAGGAAGAACCAAGCTGAAATAACTCTTCCTTGGCCAACACCTGCTTGACACAATATGTGTCTGATCTCTCACCCTGGTAACAAACAAAGGATTCGCTATGAGTATAACAGTGATATAAAAGATTCCAGGTATTACGGCTTATACCAATTTCATGTAATTTATAAAACAATCCATCGTGCCAGATTCTGTCAAAGGCTTTTTCGTTGTCAAGAAAGGCAGAGAAAACAGCAGAATCTCTATGCATATAAAATTGAATACTTTCCATGAGCGTGAATACAGACATAATGGCTCCATGTTGGCGTCGAAAGCCAAATTGTAACATATCCGGAAAATCTGGCCTTGATTTTGTTAATTTATGTTCGATTCTTTTAAGAAGGAGCTTTTCAAAAAGGTAACCTCTGTAATTTCGTGGGTCACTCTTGTCTTTTTTTGCCTTTATATATTGGTATAACCATACCGAGTCTATATTCCTTTGGGACATATTGAGAGGTAGTGATAGCATTGAATAGTTTCCATAGATGGGTGGTGATAATATCACCTGCAAAGATGATTTGTTCATTTGTAATTCTATCAGGGCCAGGTGATTTGTTTTTACTCAGGGATGTAATGGCATCTTTAACTTCACTGAAAGAGAAATCCTTTTCCAGTTCTTCATCATAGTCGTGATGGGAGATTTTTATATCAGTAACCTATTTAGATACATGATCTTTAAAGTCAGAGTCAAATTTATCTGACTCATGTGGTTGAGCTAAATCTGAGAAATATTTCCCCCAAATTGTACAAATGTCAAGGGGTGTTGATCCACTCGCTTCCCCGTATGTAAGAACAGGGATATTAGTAACAGTTGCTCTCTGTTTTCGAATGTTTTTATAAAAAGAGTTTACATCCATTTCAGCTGAAACTTCGATTTCTTTCAGCATTTCATGTCTATTATGTCTTTTGGATTGTCGGAAAAGTCGCCGAAACTTACGCTTTTCCTCTTTATAGGCTGAGCGTAATTGAGATGTTGGATCACGAGGTTTATCATTGTTTACCCATTCGCGTCGAGCAACGCGCATGCGGTAGTGAGCATCATTTAACCCGTCCGATTTCCAATATGGTTTTAAGTATGGCTTATAACTGCTATGTGGTATGGTGTTGACACCTGCATGTAATAAGGCAGTGGTAATCATATCATTATACGTATCAATGGCGTTTTCCTTGTGTTCGTCTACAAGGGAAGGATAATGATATTGTATAAAATATTCAACTGAATATTGATAGGAGCCTATATCATTTTCATTGGCTCTTCCCCATTTGGGAATACCGTAGTAATCTCCACTGCTGTACTGTTTAAGTACTGACAGGTCGATGGATATTAGGCAGGGTAGATGGTCTGAAACACTGTAAGGACATGCATCAATGATTTGAACATCACTAATATAATTGCTTATACATGAGGAAACTAGTATGTAGTCAATCATGCTTTGATGTAAGTTGGCCTTTGATCTATAGGTATATGTTGGTATGTTAAAACTGGACCAGGTTGTGCTTAAAGCGTTTACGAGATTTCTCTCCGATAGCGCACTTTTTAAAATCTCATCTCTTTGCGATAGAAGAGATTTACATACATCAGAGTTAAGACCAAGTATAATTGTTGTACTTATCTCAGATAAGTAATCATACACATCAAGTATTTCATTGAGAGCATTGCAGTAGGCTGCATATAATACATTGGTTGAAGGTAAACGGCAAGCAATTACATAAACACCACAGTAGCCTTGTCTGATAAGTTTAACCGCTATTGCGTAATCCGAGTGGACTGTTAGAGATTTCGCTCTCCACGGAGAGTGGGTATTTACTAAGATAGCAAGTCCCTGAGATCCACGAGAACACGTTGAGTTAGCTTTCATACAGTTATATGTTACCAGATTGACGTTACTAAGAGAGTGTAGATGATGTAACTTGTCTAGGGGAAGCCAGTGTTCTTGTAACGCCACTAC